CAAAAAAAAACCCCGTAAGTTATGTTCTCTGGCTAAGAACTTAATTAGCAACGTAACATGGTCACATGTGCACATCTCACCCTATCAGGGCAGTGTTACAGCACTCTCATGGAAATCCTAGTCAACTAAGTCAGGGAACTGACTTAAGGTTTTGTTTTTATTATTATTATTATTATTATTATTTGAAACTGGGGCTTGCAGTTTAGAAGGGGAGGGATGTTCAAATGGTTCAACATTAAAAAAATTATGATTAACCTTATCCCACACCCCATTGAGTAATTATATGACCTGGCAAAAATATGCTTTTAGAGGTGCTTTTTAATTATTTCTGGCAGCAGTGAGATTAGGTTTAACAGCACAGGTTAGGCAGAAGAAGAAGCAAGACTGATGAGCTACAAGTAACAAGAACTAAATGCGATCTCTTTTGAAGCGTAGAATTTACATCTGAATGCTTGTTTTCAATTTTATGTTGGCCATTTTTGTTGGGCATCTCCATAATGGATTCTTGTCTACAGGGTACATGCATCTCATAGTGCTATTATAAATGTTCTTTTCTAATTGAATGTAATTCTATTTGTCTTTTAAATGCAGTCTTTAAAGTCTGCGTCGCTGTAAATACTCTCTTACACTCGAAAGTTGCAGATATCATTTGAGTTCTTGGCCTGTCTCAATCCCTTTTTACATGTCACGTTTGTAGTGAAGCATCGATGCCACATTTCGCCCACAAAGAAAAAAAATACGATTTGACTTTTAAAAACACCGGGGCATCTTCTGTCTGTTTCCAGTCAATGTTTCATGCAAATGAGACACGTTCGTCTCTGCTTACTCGTGGACTAACGCTTGTAGATCGGGTGCTCATTCCAATAGATATATCCTTACCCGGACTGCGCCTTTCCCACTGTCTCTTGATCCGAGAGTTTATAACCAGACTGTCATGAGAAACCATGCTGTACTCAATGGAGATTTCTTTTCTTGCTTCCTTACCTCGGCAAATGATCTTTCGCAAAGATTTCTTAAATTCTTTACTCATAAAATGATAAATGAAAGGATTTACGGCAGAGTTGGCAAAAGCTATGCAGTATGTTATCATCGTTATGATTATTATGTCTTTTGGCGACCCTATTGAAACGCCATTTGCAGAGCAAAGAAACAGTATTTGAGTTGGTCCCCAGCAAAACACGAAGACTAATGTCACAGCCAGCACGACAATCAACAATCGGCTCGTTTCTCCGGTTTTGTTACGGATCGATCGTCTGCTAGCATGGTCGCAGGGGCATTCAAGGTTCCCGCCATTTCGTTTAGCAGTCGGTATAAGTTGGCGATTTTTCTTGACTTCGATTATCATTAGAATTGAAAACAGACCTGTGAGAAATATTGGAATGAAAAAATCGATGCCGGTCATAAGAAATATGAGCAAATGGAATTCAGAATCATTGTCCACAAGTATGGTGCATTGTATCTTGTCGCCTCGATGGTATTCTCCGTGAAACAGTGCGATTGGAATGTTGATGGCGAACACGAACAGCCAGATCAGAGAGGTTGAGAACAATGCATGAGCTCCAGTGAGATGTTTGGACGACTTTAATGGCAGTTTGATCACGAAGTACCGGAAAGCTGATATCGTCACCATGGTGAATATGCCAGCTCCGAGGGTGACGTAGAGAACGTAAAACAGCAACTTGCAGCCAAAGTCTCCGAGTTCTATTGTGAACTCTGAGATATACAAAGCACTGTACAGCGGTAGGCATATCACTAGAAACAGAAGGTCACTGACGGCGAGATTCAGAAACAATATGTTTGGACAGGAAAATGGCGACCGATGCGTCTTGATGACGTAGATGACGGTGATGTTACCAAAGAGTCCTACTATCCATATAATGCACATGACAACAGGAAAGGCTATGGAAGCAGTGTGCAGTGCCAACATAAACTCAGCAGTGTCATTATCATCCGTCATGACAGGATCGTGAGTGGAATTGGAGGAGAAATTCGCCTTCGTTTCGTGCATCATGCTTTTTTTTTCCCAGTCGGCTGTTGACCGCACAGCAGAGAATTCACCGCCGCTATTTTATATTAGTAACGTAATGTCCTCTGTTTGCTTCTCCTTATGAACGCCTTAACGCTTTCCTGAAAGGATAAATATGAAAGTTAAAATAGATAACATTTTTTTCTAAAGCAAACAGTTCTTGGAGGGCTTTCTACACTTGCACCTGCAATCAAATACTAATACAACGAAATTAACTGAGCTATGAGAAAAGCCAAGACAAAAAACTACCTTGGTTACACCGAATAGTAGGCCTAAGATTAAATGACAGCTCAGGGTTTGACGCCGTGTTCCAGAGTCGGAATGATATACCAACGCCGTGCCTCACGAGAACGCAGCTTCTCTCCAAGGAAGACTCAAATGAATAATGGAAAGCAATCAAATAATCATTTCCGCAAAAACTATTTCAGTGACACTCGGGACTGCTATAAATGATAAATATCACTAAGCATTACCGTATCAAATAGCCATAACTCATTTAATGTTTGATTATGAAATATAAGCTTAAATAGTCGACTTTGCTGTATTTAACCTGATTTCAATGTTACGCTTCAAATGCCTCTGATACGCTTAAAGTGGTATAATAGGAATAGTGATAATGATGTTAATGCTACCGTAATTCCATAGTAGGCTGTTACCTAACAATAAACACAATATCAAGTCACAGAATAGTATTAGTAATATTAAACAGTAATAATAGTAATATTTAACCGTAGCGAACATTTTAACTGAACAACTCCATAATTAATTATTGTATATGAATAAAACTCAATATAGACGATTTCATGGCATTTACTCTGGGATACAAAATTTGATTCAATTATTTTATAAATACATAGTAAGCTTGTGCAAAATATTCTTATTCTACAATAAAAAGTTACCCAATCCAGATTGCAAATGGAATTATGATCTGAATATAGGCTGCTCGATTGAGTGCGACAGGACAACTTTGAAAACTCTGGCATAACGTTTTCAAATTGACATTTCTGTTTTGAACAACAAGTGGAGGTTTTAAAAAGTTATGAAGTTAAAACGTTTACAGTATTAAGTCAGATTTAGTCGGATTGTATTGATTTTTAATGGAATTTAAATCAAAAGCTTATTTCTTTCTTTATTTTTATTTTTGATTGTTTGCTTATTACCCGACTGATACGCGTGTGTGGGTGCTCGCCTTTTTTGCTGAAAGCCCATATTTACACTGGACGGCGTCCTTTCTGCGTCCTTCGTGCGACCATGGAACTGGCATCACTGTGGTCGTAGAAAGGAGGCACAAGCATTGCTTTGGTTGCAGAATAAATGCTCAATGATCGGCCAGTTGTCGGCACGTAAAGTATTTTTTAACTCTCAAACGAGGCCGTACTTCGGGACCCAGAAGGGACGCTGTCCAGTGTAAAGGGGGTTTAACTGAGGTTGATAGACATACTGTATGAACAATTATGCAACAGACCGACGATAAAGGAAAGGTGGTCTAGAAATGAAAAAAAATCACGTAGACTTTCTGAGAGACTACTACAGGGAATTTCATATTCGCTTCTACAACTCACGCTGGCAGATTCTGTGCTGAGCAAAATCTGAAATTCAGAATTACATATAGAAGTTCTTAAACAGTTGAAAATATTGTATTACCAATGCATCCGGCACGAAAGCTGTCGCGATTGACGATTTGCTTGTGCTAAAATTGAAATCGTCTCAGATATGGTGATATACTGAATCATTCCCTGTCTAAAGAGACGACTCCAGCCACCTGTAACAGGTTTGAATTCTCGGTTATCAGCCGGACATGTTACGATCTTAGGCTGTATTCCCAGAGCTTTTAGATCGATCTATCCTCGCGGGGAGTCTCACTAGATTACTGTCAGATAATCCGGCTTAAAATGTCCGTCCCACCTACTACAAGCTGTAAGGGGGTAATTAACTTTCGTGTCCGCTCGGCTGACAGCTATTTAGCGTGAACCCCCAGGGAGTTAGGTCGATCTAAAGTAGATCGATCTAATCTCTGGAAATGGGGTCTTACACACATTCCGCATGACCACTCATTATCAGTCATTTTTCTTTTATTCGAGCAGACAATGCATTATTTCAAAGTAAAAAAAATCATAGTGGCGGCATAGTTCACTTATCTGTGCATGATTTATAAAATAATGGCTATGCATTGAATTATTATCATGCGGTTTGGTTGTAACATCAAAAATGTAAAAAAGATCTACGGATGAAGATTGGTTTTGACGGGTTTGTCTTACCAAAGTTAAAAACATAGCAGATTCATTCGTATTTCTGTAAATCGTTTAGAAAATTCCTTAACGTTGACAAACCACAGCCAGATTAAATAATTACTTCTTCAGGGGCGGATTTAGGCCGTCTTCTGGGTCTTCCGGAAGACGGTCAGATTTTCAAGTTTACATTGATGGGCATCTAATTTTTTCGGTCGGAAGACGGTCAAAAATGAAGGATGAATCAACAAAGATAATTTGGAAGACTGTCAGAAAATATCTTTGGGTCCGCCCCTGTTCTTGCCGGATATATTTCACAAAAGTCTAAATAATTTGAATTGATATTACTGAAGATTGCTGAAACCGGCTAGCCGACAACGACAAGTCTAGTGCGATATTGATCTAGTAGCATTTTGCAAACGATTACGTACTAGCCCAAAAGACAAGAAGCTGCCATACCTAAATGGGCTTATATCATCATTTTAACCAAAGATCACAAATCGCTTAAGAGGATAAGTTAAAAGCACAGAAACGATGTTCGCGGTCCAGCTTTAAGAATTTTGCATTGCGTTACCCAACAGACACAGCAAATTCTTTCCGCGAGGAATAAAATTATTTAGAGTAATCTTATACAGAGATGGAGAAAGAGACTACATAAATAAGGAACATTTTCAAGACTTTTCACCTCCGCTGTCCCTGTTTGGCTCTTCTAAAAAAGAAAACTTATGACTTTCTCTTGGGTTAGCTAAATTCAGTTGTTTTCGCGCATAGTCGCGATAATCCGTTATGGGCATGAACGCAAGATGGCCGACGAGCTGGAGACTGGGGTGTGCTAGCTCGCAAAAGTTACCGTCAGTCAAGGGATGTACGGGGTGAAANGCTCCGTATTTTGCCTTTTCTCAATATGTTTTTATATGACATGCTTTTTAAATAAAATACTTAATAGTAATTTGAAGTTACACTGATTTCCGTTTGAGTACCGGTTGGTATTCTTTGATACGGGTGATTGAATTTTCTTCGGAAGTACGTACGTCTACGCCTCGACGCTGAGCAAGCCTTGCGGGTTGAAAACAACTGATCTCAGACTGGTAAAAAATTTCAATTCGGTTGATTTCAGTTGTCATATTAAAATTCAAATAGGGCGTTCGTAGATCACATAACTAGTTTAAGTCCACTAAAGCTACGGTTTCAAATATAAGTGACCGGCCTTTGTTTACAACACCTGTCTCCGCGCGGGGAAATACTCGTCCCACTTGTGAAGTGCATCATGAAAGTGATCGTAGGTGAGGGAAATATATAATTAAAAATTATTATTGTCGTCTTTTTTAATGTTAAGTAATGTTAGCACATATTGTACACAGCAAAATAAGATTTCAGGAGGATAAAACATGCCTGAAACACATGTTAGGCGAAAATTGCGGCTTATCTTGCATAACACTTCCGGTAAAAGGCAATACTTCTGGAAAGATGGACGTTTTGGCAGATGCCCCTAACAATCCGACGATATCAAAGGTTTCCATTTGCTGTATTTTAATCAATTCGACCAAACTGACATTTCCATGAAATTAATTAATTAATCTTGGTCGAATTGTTTGGCATATTACCGTACCAGACAAATCAGCCAGAAAGTGGCAAGGTTGGGTTCTCACAGAATACACTCATTTTTCCCGCAGTTAATCATCTTTATGACTTTTTAAAATGTGTTAAATATTTAAGGTTTGCGTTGCATTTTAACAAGATACAGCCCATGCATATTTCACCCTCAAGCAGAGCATCTGCCTAACTTTTCAGCTGTGTTATAATTAGTGATGTATTTCTCACAATTTGTTCGATACATTACTTGAAAGATTAATAAACAATATTAACAACAACAGAAAATCATATCATAATTCTGTTGCTATGGTTACACACTTCTGAGGTCATTTGGGGTCAATTGATGATTGTTTTAGATACCCACCCTACAGATAGCCTAATATCTCCACTGGTAGAGGACCTATGGTTCATCGCCCCATGATGAATGGAACTAAAGAAACAAACGAGCGTAATGACTCGAAAACATCTCAGTCAACGAAAAGACTTCACTCGGAACTCTCAAACTCCAGTGGCAACTCCAGTGGCAACTCATTATGCAAGAAATGCTAGAAATTAAAACTGAATTAAAACAAATAATAAAAGATGAGGTGGGCGAAATTAAAACTATGGTTGGCGTGAGGGTCAAGGACTTGAAAGAAGCCATAGAAAATCGGTTTTTAGAAATGGAAATGAAATTCGACGTGAGATTCGGAAGACTGAAAGAGGGATACGATCACCTGTCAACTGAAAACGAACTATTGAAAGAGCAGATTATGGACAATAAAAGAGAAATTACAAGGTTAGCAAAAATAGCAGAGGAAGCTGGCAACATGTCCAAAGAAGCTCAAATCAATGCCAACTACAATGAGCAATACTCCCGAAAAAACAACATCAAGATCTACGGAGTGAAAGAGGAGAAAAATGAAGACATGGTCGGCATGGTGTCCAAACTGCTACAGACGGAAACGGGTGTACGGGTGACCAGTGAAGAGATTGTTGCCGTTCACAGGATACCTGGAAAGCGAGGACAGGAAAGACCAATATTACTGAAAGTTAAGAACACTGATGTGAAAGCACGGATTATGAAAAAGCGTGCAGTACTCAGAAAATCGGGAAAGAATATGAAACTTTCAGACGATGTAACCAAACGTAACATTGAGCTTTTACACAGACTAAATGAGAGTCAGCTAATAGAACAAGCGTGGTATTTTAACGGGAGCGTCTATGGCAAACCAAAAAACACTGATGACAAAATAAAATTCGACATATTTGACATCATTGACGAAAAAATAAAAAAGAAAAACTATAAATAAAATGCAAAAGACTTATTATAAACTGTACAGGTACATCTTTCTGTCTGACGATGGTATATAATCAGGACTAAACTGATTATGACGACTTATGTGTGTAATGTTGTAAGCGAAGCGTTGCATGTGTTTCTGTATATTTATTCATTTTGTTTCTTATCCACTCTACCAAGCCAGTTCTCATTCGACTGCTTGGTTGTTGCTATATACTATGCACATCCGCTTCCTTTTCCCCCCTTTTTTCCTCTGACTATGAACTCTAGTTTTCCAAAATATAACCTAAGAGGACTGAGGGGAGGGCATGGCTGGGGACGGGGGTACTTGATGATCATTCACATGAATGGGGATTAGTTTAGGTCAGTGGAGGGTCGCAATTGGCCATTTTTATTGTGTTATACATAAGCTATCGTCTGGATCATGCAAACTGACACCCGTCACACTTCACCTGACATCAAAGGTGACTCTGTTCCTAGTAACTATCATCATGCTTGAGATCATTCTACTATCCGGAGATATCCACCCCAACCCAGGGCCGTACTCGATCCCCCTTACCATACTTTTCTCAAACATAAGGAGTCTTAGCGCGGACGCTGATGAACGCTTCGAGAGCCTTAAAATAAGAATTAAAAATGCTAAAGCTGACGTAGTTGGGCTTTGCGAAGCAGGAAATATCTGTAGGATAGATCGGATTGAAGAGTATAATATTGAAGGCTTTCAAGTACCCGTATTTTCAAATAATGGCCGAGGGCTTATCTTGTATATGTGCGATGATATAATGTATAAAGAACGAACTGATCTTCAATTAGATGGGTTGGACTGCCTATGGGTGGAGCTGCGAGTGAAGCATAAAACTCTTCTTTACGGTGTATTCTACAGATCTCCTAATCAATCAGCCCAACAGAGGAACATTTTCATGTCCCTTCTATCCGAATGCCTTGAGAAAACAAGACGCTCTCGGCATGACGGAATCATAATAAATGGCGATTTTAATGCTCATAACAGACAATGGTTTCTGGAGGGAGGTGATGACGTGCCAGGTCGAATGTTAAGCGACATATTTTGCGAACATGGCCTTGACCAGTTAATAAATGAGCCAACCCGAATTCAAGGAAGCTCTGTCTCATGCATTGACCTGACTGTGACTGACATTCCCGGCCTGGTACTAAGATCTTCTGTGGAAGCACCGATTGGACGCACAGACCATGCTACATTAGTGACCTCCATAGATATAACTCTCTGTAAGCATTCGCCTTACTATAGAACTATATGGAAGTACGACCATGCAAACCCTGAAGGACTAAAAACCGAAATAACCCAGTTCGACTGGGACGGCATGTTTAAACTCGAGTCCGATGTCCACCTGCTGACTAAAAAATTTATCGATACGCTTATGTCCATATTTGAAAAACATATCCCAAGAAAACATAGTAAAGTACGTGGAAATGAGAACCCATGGTACAATGACAAAATTACACATGAATTAAATAGAAAGAGAAAATTGTACCAACGTGTAAAACTGAACCCGTCGCAAGTAAACATCGCCAGCTATGTTGCCCAAAGTAACCTGGTGAAGCAGTTAATATCTGAAACTAAAGACTCTTATTATAAAAGCCTAATCGAAGCACTTGAAGCTAAAACAGATAGTAAGAAACACTATTGGCCAACATTGAAAAAACTTCTGGGTAATAAATTCAATCGGTCAATTCCGGTGATTGGAAATGTAAATACCGGTAATGTTGCTAATTCTGACGAAGAAAAAGCTGAGGTCTTCCTAAATCACTTTGGCAAAAGCTACCATTCTGATAATCAAAACTGTGATACAAATATCACTTTCCCACAAAGAACAGATGTTATTTTAACCGATCTCGACACAACACCCGAAGAAATAAGCTGTATAATAAATAGCCTGGACTCATCCAAGGCTAACGGACCAGACGGTATAACAGTAAGAATGTTAAAATTATGCAGTGTATCCATTGCTTATCCGCTATGCACCCTCTTTAACTTGATACTACAAACCGGCGTCTTTCCAGACATATGGAAAGAGGCATATATATGCCCAGTGCACAAGAAAGGCAGCAAAACTGACGTAGAAAACTATAGACCTATCTCATTGTTAAGCGTTATATCTAAGGTCCTAGAGCGGATCATATATACGAGAATGATTAGGCATGTTATGGACAATAAACTTCTCTATGACAGACAATCGGGTTTCCTGAGTGGACACAGCACAGAATATCAATTGCTTTCGATTGATAATCTGATTAGGGACAATTTCAGAAATGGTCTTGATACTAGAGGTATTTTCCTCGATTTTGCTGCTGCATTTGACAGCGTACCTCACAGTCTCTTATTGCTGAAACTTATATCCTATGGTTTTAGAGGTAAACTGCACTCTCTCTTGGCCTCTTATCTGAACAATAGGAAAATCAGAGTGCGCATAAACGGTACCCTTTCAAAGGTCTCCGAGACAAACTACATCAATACCAGTGTTCCGCAAGGAAGTATACTCGGCCCGCTTCTATTTCTTCTGTATATAAACGACCTACCTGATGGTCTTATCTCGCACTGCTTCATATATGCTGATGATACTTCGATTTTTCTCCCGTCTACCCCGGACAACAGGAGAGCTCATGACATTCTCCAGTCTGATATCTCATACCTTGAAGCATGGTCAGTGAAGTGGAAATTATTTTTTAAACCAAAAAAGTGCAATGAAGTGATTTTTACTACGAAAAAAGAAAATGTAGAAAAGTACAGTCCACTTATTCTATGCAACACGGCTATAACACAGAAAAAATACCACAAACACCTTGGGTTTATTCTTGATCATAAACTTGACTGTTCCGAGCATATTACATATACTTTAAGCAAGGCCCAAAGTGCACTAAATCCTTTAAAATCGCTTTCTAAAACTTTACGATCTAAGCATCTTAACATACTTTACAATGCGTACATTTCTCCTTTGCTTGATTATTGCGATGTTCTCTATAGCACCGCGTCTCTACATAACCTATCAAAGCTATCCTCCCTCCAGTATCAAGCTGGCCTTAATATACTGGGGGCCCTTCCTGGCTCAAATCGCTGCAAAGTACTGAAACAGCTGAACTGGGTTTCACTAGAGGAACGTCGAAGAAACCACGCGAAAAAAATCATGTTCAATATCCACAATCAACTAGCACCTTCCTATGTCTCTACCTATTTCATTCC